GGCTACAAACAAACTTACTCTGCTTCTATATGTATGTATTTGTTGTTTCGGCATTTAAAACTCTTCAGCCACAAATTCCAAATTCCACAATTGATTCTAGTTGGGCTATATAATATAGCCACTTACGGTTTGACATAAGCTAGATATATCGGGTTTATCTGATATGTCGGTTTCGTGGGTACAATAACTGTGATATATGTTTAAAGTAGTCCTAAAATTTTTAAATATTTAATATTTTTTACCTTAAACTGCAATAGACCGAGACCAGCATTGAAACGAGATCTACGAGATCGTTGTTAACACAACAAATCTCCTTCACATCTGATATACGTCCGCATCGTACTCTTTTTATCTCTCTCATTAACATGTTATGAGAGTTGTGTCTCTCTGTTTTCTTTGCAAAATGTCCACTTTAGTTCAGCATACGTACCACGGTAGAAGAATACAGGTTTGAAAACATTGATATGTCAAAAGTTTTAATTTTCTTTTTTTTTTTTCAAAAAAAAAGTCGATTTTTATATGTTTTTTATGCAAGCCACAAACGAAGCAACTGGTTGCATAACTTGGAGAGGTTGTATTCAAGATTGTATCGTTTGTGTCCCGGTTGTACGAAATTGTGTCTAGGTTGTACAAAAAATCAAAATTTCTTGATATTTGGATTGTTGTACCAACCGATTGTATTGTTTGTGAGCATGTCACATACAATTTCAATTTGTGTTTATTTTCAAAGAGGCAACACCATTGTTTCGCACATCAAAACAATACGAAATCCAATCAAATGTGTGATTTCAATGAAAATATAAAAAAATAAATGTATATATAAAACGGAATTTCAAAAATTAATAATAAATAAAGTAAATTACGCACGAAATTATTTCCGGTGCCATCTTAACTCAAATGAACTCTTCGAAAAGTGAAGTTGTACAAAGAGGTTGTACACAAAGTTGTATCGTTTGTGGCCGAAGCATACAAACTTGACAATCCTCCAGGTTGTACCAACGGTTGTATCGTGTGTGGCTTGCATTATACGACATCAATTGGAGGTTATTTTGATAAGCGGTTTTCAACAATTTTTAAAAATTTGAATAATCTTTCATTCAAAAGTTTTAATTCCAAAATTGGTTAGACAGTTTATTGTCCCGGCAGCTGTGTCGATGCGACTACCTGTATTCTTGTACGTACTTACTTCCTTGCCACTTACCTTTGGTACGTTAACCCGTATGCTTGTTGTTATTATAATTTGTCGTCTTTGTTTTTTTTTTTTTATTGATTCGAAACTAATTCTATTTGAATTGGCGAATAAAACTCTGGCGATTAACGATTAAAAATCAAATTTTAACCTACTAATCATACAAAAAAATATTATGTTCTAGATTGGATTTGTAGTACGAAAAAAAATGTATACACATCGCATGTATGTATGTTTGTATCATTGTAAACATGGCAAGGGTCAATATTTTGAACCGTATCGAATTAAAAATATTTGCTCCAATTTCAAATGGATTCTTTTTTTCTTTTAAATTTGTATCATAGTCAGTCTCTCGGCATGTACCAATAATGTATGTTTGTATCTGTGCTGTGCGGCAAGTCCGCTATCTGCTGAAACATTTCTTCTGATTGTGATTACTACAACTCACATTCGAGATACTCATTCACTGGCGGCGATAATCGATGGACAATAATGCGAGACCGTTCCACGGTGGCGCTGGTGGTGATGATGTTCATGCGACGAGATTTATCACGATTTCATTGAACTTTAGACAAAGTTTATCGTGAATGAAAAAATCCCAAGAAATATAAATGAAAGATGAAGTAAAGAGATTTTCGGGGGGTTGGGATTATTTCATTATATATTATTTTGAATATTATTTTCTGTTTAAATTCATTTATGGTCTCTTTTAATGTCCACAGATAACATTCACACTGAGCTGATCTTGCTGTCAAGTATGCGTGCGTGTGTGTGTGTTATCAAAATATATTTCAATTTAATCGATTTTTATGTAAATATGTAAACCACATTTGTTTATTAGTGGAAAATAAATGCCAATGATATCTGAATGCTGATAAATCTTTAACATTTGATTCATATGACCCATGAGATTAAAGTTTATCTGTTGTAATTTAACGATATTAATCCTTTATCTTTAGATATGTTTAATGTTTGCAGTGAAGATATACAAAATACTCGTACTTTTTTGTTCTTATAATAAAATTTTGGTTCAAATATCAATTTGCGTCAATTCATCACCGTATGTATCCGTTTGGTCGTTGGGTAACCTCAAGGATTTCTAAGATTGAAAATTTCCTAGCTTAATCTGGAGTGAAAAAATTGAAGCAAATTAAAACAACAAGGAATCTGTGAAGAATCGTGACGTCTCTATTCGTCTCGATCGTTTTCTCGTCGTATCTATCTATCCGGTCGCTCATTCGTATGTTCATCTATGCACTTATCTGTAACTGAGTGAACGGCTCTGATTGGTCCATACGGTCCCTTTAACTGGCTATCTATCTATCGGGCAGACGTGTCGAATTAAAAAAATACAAAAAATGAAAAAATAAATGTGTGATTATTGAGAACAAGTGATAATATTGTTTTTAAGTAGATGTGTTCTGATGCTGTTTTTCCGCTGTAGTCTGTAGTCCGCCTTTAAGTTGTTTTTTAAGATTTTATTATAAACAAGTACAGTTCGGTGGATCTGTTCGTATGTGTTTATGTGTATTTTTTGTTGTTATATTGTCTCTTATCGTAAATAATTTTATGTATTGATTTAGTATTTGTACTCGTTATTACTTTACTTCGAAGCGATAACATCTTATAGGAATATGACTGACCTCTTTCTCGTTGCTGTACGACGCTGAGCTGATGATCTACGGCGTCAATCACGTTGTGATCTCCTCTAACTAGAATACAAAATCTAAAGTGTGTAACATCAACGTACATCCACACGTTTTTCTATCAAATTTAGAAACAAAAAACAAGTGCCTGGTATCATCGTTGCCAAGTGATTGCCTTGGAATTAAGTCGGAGGGTTAGGATAACTGTATTCCAGTAGAATTTAGGACCTTTTCGACGGAATATTGAAGTATGCCCAATAATTAGTGCTTGTTATTATTGGGCATTTTTATTTTGTATATCATTATTTAAAAAGAAATTTTAAAAAATATTTTTGATTTTATTCTGCGCTCGAAGATTTCTTCACTCTTCCTACTGTTTAAATATATTAAAAAAGTGTTCAGCTATGATCTTGATCTGAATCGGACAAAATATACTGACCAAAAAAAAAAATCCGTGAAACACGTGCCATTTTACAATACGTGTTCCTAATATTTTTTTTAGCTGAATCATATTCATTCATTCATAAGTCTCACGAGGGAAGACATTAAATGTAAAATAGAATCAGTAAAGAAAGCATTTAAGTCGGACGAGGCCGACTTTATGATATCCTTCACCACTTGCATCGTTAGTAGAGCCTCACATATCAAATAAACGTTTTGCATGGGGAATTTGTGAGAATTAAATCATACCAAATATGATTGTAGTTATAATTAAAGTCTAAAGGAACTAATATATATAAAAGGAATATTCTTCTCTTAATCGTTTTCTACTTAATTTGTCTGTACATTTGTGCCTTTTAGTTCGGGCTTGTATTGTAGATATTGTATTGTAGATATATATGGGAGTTATATCCAAATTTGAACCAATCTCGATAAAATTTCGAAAAGACATTTCTGAGCAGTATTTGATACATTTCCCTGAATATCATTACTACTATATGAGAGTTGTAGTTACATCTGAACTGATTTTCACCAAATTTGACATACTTTTTTCTAGATTCAATTTGGTCGTAGGTGCCACATGGCCGTTAGATTCTGTACATTTATAATGTATAAGACATTCAAATTAAATTTGGTTCCAATTCCAAAGGAAATCAAAAAAATAATGTAAATTTATTCAAATAACATATCCTAATCACAAATTATGTTCGAAAAAAGAATATGATTATATTGTAGAATTAATAAAAATACGTTGAAAAATACTTTTAAAAATCATAGACTGCAGTACCCATTAGGAACTTCAAGTACGAAATTTGAGACATTTGCGCTGAATAATGTCGTTTAAATCATCAAAATACCGAATATTTTTTATAATATTACTAAACGTCGCACACCAACATCTAAATACAGTATCTTTATGTTTTCTCATTCAACAAGAAATCCTCAAATAATTATACTAAGGATTTATAGAGATGTTTATGCGAGATCGTTCTTAGTTAGAATTGCACGGAATTGGAATCTATTACCCTATGAACTGAGGATATTTTCCCACTCCAATTTTTTTTAGTAAGAAAATTTTGATTCTTTTTACTTCTTTTGTAGTTTTCTTTTTTAAATAGCCATGTTTCTGCTTTTCTGACTTTTGGTGAAATGATCTTCATAATGGTTGCATTGCATTACAACTATTTGAGTTATTGTTTGCTTGGACGCTATATTTTTCTTGTTTTATTATATTATTATGGCTGGGGAGCCAATGAAGAGAAATTATTTTATAGTTTTCATTTTTTCCTATTATAAGTATTAAATACTCAGGTTTTGCTAGCAATGATTTTATGGTCTTAGAGGCCCTGTATTACACAAATGAGTTTGAAGAAATAAATAAATATAAAGAGGTACCGTTATATGGGGGCTATACCAAAAGTCCTGCAGAACAAACACACATCTGAGTAAAATTTTATCAACCTACATCAATTTGTTCGGAAGCTAGAACGATTTCCACAAAGAGACAGACGGACGGTCTTTGTTAAATCGAAATAGAATTTTATGCTGATCAAAAATATATATTCTTTGTGGGGTCTAAAATGTTTATTTCGGCGTTACAAACGGAATGACAAACTAAATATACCCTCCATACTATGGTGGAGGGTATAAAAATAAACCATGACATTTTACTTTTTTATCTATTACTTTTTACAATTACTATAAGACTATATTCCTTATTACAGTTATTCTCAAAGATGTCTCCTACACAATCATGTGCGAACTTTTGGAATTTATGTACCAAGGCGTTGTCAATGTCAAACACACGGAACTTCAAGCATTCATGAAAATTGGCCAATTATTACAAATAAAAGGCTTAGCTACCAACAACTCGTCTCCACCGGCTGGTCCGTCGTTATCGGAAAAATCAAACTCAAATCACAATACTACAGAGGAAAAGGAACCATCACAGGTTTCCAGATCAACGCCGAAATCTGCTGCCTCGCCCAATCACAACGACTCGACTACCAGTAACACAGAAAAACCATCACAAACAACACCAGCACCAACAACAAGCTCAAATACCCCACAAAGAGTGCAGTCGCCTGATATTTCTATGTCCTCCCCTGCCTCGCCTTCGCTAAATATATCCAGTGTCACTCAGAAACAAGTCGAAAATAATTTACATCACAATTTCCATTTAACCACTGCTGGCAATTCAGGACTCAAACGTCATTTATCCGACTACAATTCGGACTCATTATCTATATATTCCAGGAACAAGAATCGTCGGACAACAATGCCGACGGATCAGAGCAGCGATAACAATGAAGGATCCGATGTTGGTGGTGGCAGCAGCATGGATCAAATGAATGCCGAAGATTTTTTTATGCCTCATATGTCAATGGTGGAGGGCCGTTACGATTTGAACAGTGTGAAAAGAGACAGTTCCGAACATCACCTCAATGCAAATAGTCCCAGTGCCGCGGCAGCCGCTGCGGCCGCAGCATCATTGCGCAACTCATTTAACCCCGCAGCATTTGGGCTGGACTATTCATTCTATAAGAACAGCAATAGCGGATCGGCCTCGACAATTGCCCAAGAATTCCCCAATGAATTGAATATATCCAGTGGTGATTACAGTAAAGGATTTGCCAATCACATGGATATACCGCCAAGTAAGTTGATGAAGAAGATTTCTTATTTCACTTCTGTATGTGTTTTGGTTTTCATTTTTTACATTAGTTTTGTTGTGTTTTGTTGTAGTGTAATTCCGTCTTTGGTAATGGTGTCGGGGTTGAAAATAATTTGGGCTACATAATTTGGGACTTTCACTAACACATTTCGCATCATAAAATATCCATCGTTGCATTTATACGTTACTAACATTCTAAATTAACATTGCATTAGGCAACGTGTTTAACTAGATCTCTGCCATTCCACACAGAAAATAACAAAACATAATGATATGGCGTATACTATTGCTAAACCTATGCATATGATAAAGTCTATATGTCGAATTTTTATAGATTTAGATATAAAATAGTTTGATAAAGGTTTTTATGACTTGAGTGTAGGTAGTACTCACTCATTGGTGGTAACAGCATCGAAATAATTTCTTAGAATTCAAATTTGTAATAAAAATATATAAGAATTATTTTTAATTCATTTTAGTTTGTACTTACTCCAGTACCTGTAAGAATCTACTAGTTTTACAATTTTCTTCGATATCGTAAAGGGAAAACTGGTTATCATAAAAAATTTTACATTCTAAAGTTCTGGAACAGACCAATTGTTAGCGTTATGCTAAAAACACGTTCTGTTTTTAAATTTTTATTTTTCAAAAATATCTTTATTTTTAATTTTCAGTAAAAGCTTGAATGTGTAGATTATATGAAGTTATAGTAAAAAATGTGACCACTGACTGTAATTTGGTGTCACACTTGATTCGTTACAGAAGAATTCGACATTATACATTATTTATATTCACCCAACCACAAGTGCATAAATATGTACATATCCATATTCAAACCTGTACAGCAATTACTGCACTTTCCAATTGCACAAAATGGCTGCACACAATTTGTATATATACATTTGTAATGAACATAGAATTAGTTGCTTTATTCTGGACACTTGTTCACAGTTTTTATTTTAATTTTGTAAATAACAACAATAAAAACTTCAATAATGTTTAACTTGAAAAAAAAAAAAAAACAAAAAAATATTTTAAATAAAACATCTCCAAACTCTCGTTTCGCTCCTTTACCCGTTCACACACAGATTGTCCCAATGTGGTGATGTTAAGTTCAACATCTTTGCTTCACGGAAATTGTGTTTTTAATCGCAATAACACCGTGGCCACACAACAGGGCATGAAAACCTATTGGTTATGCAAATCATATCGAATTAGTATGTGCCGAGCCCGTTGTATTACACATCAAGGAAAAATTATATCCGCCACAGGAGTCCATAATCATACTCCACATATGAGAGGAAATAACGCCGGTGGTGCAGGTGGTCCCCCCATGAACGATGTCAACATGGGCCCTACTAATAGTAATAACATGAGTGGTGGTAGTGGACCTAGCGGGAGATTCGCCCAAAATATACCAGGACCAAGTGCAAATATATTTCCAACCAATTACCATGGATCACATCATGGTCATCCTATGTCACCGTCAACGCCACCGCCTATGCAGCATACAACATTCACCGCAAATGAAGCCAATGCAATAGCTCCCACTAGTTCCCACCATTTTGTACAAATGACACCAAACCTGGGACAGCATCAGCTATCAAGTTTACATCCACCGGCACCGCACCCACAATCATCCAATAATAATAGTACAACGATAATGCATCCCCAGCCACACGGTAGCTACGACATTACCTCACCATCTTCGGGAGAACACAGTCGAAATGCAAATCCACAAGTTTACGATACTAGTAGTAAATCTCAGAAAGGTTTTCTAAATGATGATCACATATCTGTACAAAATGCTGCAGAGCTTTCGCCTTCACATCATATGAAGGAAGAAGGTGATCGTCAGCAAAACGATAAATCATCAACAGATCATCACCACCCACAGCAGCAACAGCAGCAACCACAACCCCATCATAAGCAGCAACATGAGCCAGTGCAAGTAATTGACTCCATAACGATATCACCAGGCGGAAATGGTCACAACTTTAAAATGGAGCCCTTATAAATAACCATCACAGACGAAATCATTCAACAGATGCAACCAATGCATAGCGAACTGCAAATAGTTTATACATAAATATTACTTAGTTATGGCCCACAGAATAGCTTATTTCAAATTATATCTTGTTGGCATCGTCTATAGAATATATGTATTATCTAAATAATTGAATGTGTATTCAGTTCTAATATACATATGTATGTATTAATTTTAAAGAAATATTTCTGTTTACATTTTATTCCTTAAATAATATTAATAAATATAATTGCAATTTTGTAGGACACAAACCAATATAGAAAAGGAATCTATAATTTAGTAAGTTGTAAATCATTTGGATTTTCTTTTGGTATATTCTAGAAGTTTTCAAACTCTTCCTTTGGCGAATACCATACGCTTTATAACAACGATGAGAATTATTTTTAATTTTAAACTTTTTTTAAACAATATTATGCATGGAACTATTTAACTTGGGGGCGATATTAACCACGATCCTTAAAAATGTGAGGTATATGAATATTAATTGAGAAATTTATTAAACAGAACGGACTTACAATACACTTTTCGTTGTAAATATTCTCATCTATTATATTACAAACCTTGGCCAGTTATTGGTTAATGTTTTACTTAATGCGATTTGAATATTGAGAGATTAAACGACAATTGATTTAAAGCCATGTTTAGTGTAAGGGTTTCACATTAAATCTTTTAGGATAAAGACAAAAAACAACATTCAACGGATATCTTATTCAAAATAACCTCCTATCCTCATGTAACATCTGTCTAATAAGCTAATGCATTGTCGTTAACAGTTTTAGTCCACCACCCTCATAATTTATGACTAGGAAAGATTTTGTTCCCAGTAACCAACTGGTGAATTTTATATCACTTAGCTATATATCCCTCACACAAAACGCTTTAACACTTCGAAAAAATGTCTCCCTTTTTATCAATCATCACCACGAAGTTTTGTCTGAAGATCGGTTTTTGACCACTAAGCGCCTATACTTTTGACCCGATTTCCTAGTATTACTAACAAAATATATATGACTGTTGGGCCTATATGACATTTATATTAGCCTAAATTGTTAATTTAAAAAATTGTTTTGCAAGATCCAAATTTGAATTCAATTAGGGCTGATACTTTCCGGAATATTATGATATATTAAAATGGTTATAAACTCTAAATGTTCCAGTATTATTTTGAATTCCAAAAAAAAAAAAAAAAACTAGAGAACGAAGATTTCCTGGAGAAGTGTAAGGAGAAGAATAATATGCATGTATGCGATGCTCTTGATGATAAACGGTAGAGTGCTCCAAAGATACTGATTGTTTTGTACATCGATTTATGTCAAAACGAGCCGAATAGATTATTAATCGCATACCTGTTTATTTTAATTTAAATTCATATCTTTCTGAACATAAATGCAAAAGATCTAATAAATCTATATTCTGTGTCACAAAGAGATTTCTAATGGAATATATAAGATTGGTGGGTAAGTATACACAAAATTATAATTATTTTATTACATAAACAAATTGAAAAAAATACATTGGGACATTATTGATATTGCATTAATTACTTAAATTTTAACATTGTGGTGTTTTCATATGGGATCATTTTTAATGCATGATTGTTCTACAAAATCTGAAACATTCTATCATAAGAACAAATTATCATCATCATCTTAAAGGGTATTGCACATCATGCTTCATACGTTTCATTCAGCTTACTCTGGTAAACATTCAAAACATTCTTAAACAAATGCTCAAATTCACAATATTGATAAAACAACAACTTCAACTTTATATTTAGTTGGTCCCGGTGAGCATTGGTTCCAGGGCAAATTAGAATTTATGCTAAGTCAACGCGGCAAACCTCTACTCGTCCACGATGGCCACACATTCGGCATCCAATATGTGCGCAAAGACAAGAAGTACTGGCAATGCAATTTGTCGCGGAAATTCAATTGCAAGGCACGTGTCACTACAACCGACACCGGTGAAATAATTGTAACCAACAATGAACACTGTCACACAGAGATTCGCCAACATCTACGTAAAGACTATCAGCGCAACAAGGTCATGATGAATGCTCTCATTAATTTAAGTACAAATCGTTTGGCGGTGGAAAATCTTAGACGACACAATGTGAATAGCATTGCCAGTAATCTTAGTAACTTGGTGGCTGCTAGTGCAGGTTCACCCCTAGCACTCCAATCACACATGGACGCTGCGAATGTCATGGCAGGAACACTCTTAGATTTGGGCAAGAGATCGATATCTTTAGACAATGAGGACCATATGAAAATGAACCACCATCATCAGCAACAACAGCAGCAGCATCAAGATCAGCAGTTAACCCAAGTCAATCAAGAAAACAGAGCTATGCATAATTTGGAAGAAGGGTCATCGTTACATGACGAACAACCACTCGATTGTGGTATACGATCATCAGATCGTGAACGTTTTGAAAGGGAGGTCAGGAGTTATAAGCAAGATCCGTCATCAGAAGCTTATAATAGCACTCAAACGCATCATTCAACGACACCAAACAGTGGCAGCAACAACAACAACAGTCATGAGAATTCTGAATGGGCATGTAAGAATGAAGCAGAAATCCAATAGAGATTCGGCAAAGGAATACAGAATTGTTTTGTAGCATCGCAAGATGAATTATAGATAATAGATAATTACATATATTTGTTCTATTTACTAAACTGTTTTCCAGGTTTTGATATAGAAAATCATTAAAAAAAATGAAGGGGGCTCCTTAACATTTCAAATTAATTGTTATTGGAGATCCAAACGTTGAAGCAGCAATTTTTTATTTTTAAAATAGGCCAATAAATAAAATGTTAAATTGTAATAACACTTAAAAGAATATTTATCCATAGATCTTGTTCGATTTAGCTTTAAGTATTCTTTACTACATTCAAATACTCCACATTCGTTACAAATATGTTTAATGTAATTCTATGTCCAAAGAAACTTCCAAAGAATTTTATTAATTATAAATAAGTATACAAAACAAGTTAATATATCTAGCTAGGAAGAATATTATAGATTTTTTTATCGTTTAGTTTATTAGTTTTCGTTATATGTTATTATTTAGTGCAAATTTAAGAATTTTTTTATTGACTATAGATTTTTAATGTTAATTAAAAGACAATTTATTAAATAAATTTTTAATTTTTTATTTTGGGGTAATTTATGTGTGTGTACAGGTTTTCTTATTTTTTTCCATGACAGTATGGTCGGTTGGTGAGTACAAAATTCTTAACTTTAAATATTAATAACTCGACTTAGTTTCTGTATGCGATTCAACAAGAGATCACCCTGCTTTATGGTGGCCTGATATTGCCAGTTTTTGCTATCTGGGCGATTTGTTTCAACAATGCCTCCCACACGATCTACTTTGGCATGTAGCCGTCCGGCAGCTATGAATCGTGAAAGCTCTTGATCGATATAGTCCACACTTACTCCAAATGCTTCCGCCATGTATTGAAGAGTCAAGGAGCGATACGACTCCAGCAGTTGCGTGTAGGCTAAAATGCGCATTTCACGCACATAGAAACGATAATGGGGATGTGCAAGGTAATCTTTGCGGAGTACTACTTCCACTTCGGACAAATGCTTGAAGAAATCGGCATAATGACAGTTGTACAATGAAAATAGGTAGTTCTTCACATCAGGCAGACCGTGAAGGACCTCTTGAATTTCAGCACCCTTAATAACTTTATCACGCAATTCGTTTCGTGGTAAAGCTATCATAGCCACATACACAGTGTAACGTACAAAAGTGGGATAATCCATTAGTTCGTAGGAAGTAAAGGTGCTTACGGTATCCAAAAAGAATGTGGCAGCAGCTTTGAAATCTCTTACAGCGACAGAATATATGCCTTGATAAACCTTTAGACGATTGCGCCTATCCCAGTCGCCACCTTCCTCGATTAAATATTTAGCCTTCTCAATATTTCTGGTTATTAGGTCGTGATCCAAATAGAATAGACCTAAGCGAATCAAATGGAACACAATGTCCAAGCGATGGCCCAACGACACGGTCTTTTCATAGGTTTTGCGGAAAGCATACTCTGCTGCAGCTTTGTCTCCAATGCGACACAGGTATTCAGACTTCTTCAAATTGGCTTCACGAACCTCCATTTCACCGAGATTCTTCTCGGCGTCTTCGATGGCCTCGTCAAGCTTCTCCAAATCTTTCGTATTCTGCTCCTTCATTTTGTCCAACAAACCCTTGTCGACCGTCCAACCCAGTTCAGTACAAAGGTGTTCGTAGTATGGTGCCATGTTATCGGCTTTTACGGCTTCCAGTAATTTGTTTTTGAGAGCCGCATCTTGTTTATGTTCCGACAAGGTTAGCAGGAATTTATATTGTGCCAATTCCAAATTTGGATTCTTTTCCAAACCCTGCTCTTCCAAGTTTTCTGCTGGCATGTTGAAATTTGTTTATATTTTTTAGGAAATCCTTCCAAGAATGTCTTTTACTCAGCACTTGTGTAGTATAACGAATCGGTTGAAATCGCAAATCATCAGCCAAGAAGAAGAAGAGCACAAACACAAAGCAACAACAATGCAAAGGCAAATGGTTGCTAATGCGGATCACATGTCGTTATAACCCAACAAGAACAAAGAATTGTCGTACAACCGTTGTTAGAAATTGTGAAAATAAAAAAATCATTTTTTTATAATTATAGCAGCTTGTTAATATAACGTTAGTATATTTGTTTCGCTTTCTCGCTATAAAGTATAACTGCTACGAGTAACTAACTAATATATATGTATGTTTTTGTTCCTCTCATTTCTATCAATTTTACGTACAACCATTCTCAATATTTATTGAGAAGGAAAATCGGCACTTAACCATTAATCGATAGCACTGTTGTAGTCTCACCTCTAGCCATACAGTCAGCACAGAAAATCGAACCAGCGATTTAAAGTTGAAAGTCGACTTACGTGCACCTACATGAAAAAAGGGGAGTGAAAAAGAAATAGAGAATTTCTTTGACGAAATCAGTGAAATCAAATTAAGAATAATTTGCTGTGCTGTAAAAGCCTCGGTTTGCATAATTCATCGGAGGAGGAGAATCGGAACATTTCTTCTATTCTAGATCCGAACAATTTCTCAAAATGATCGGTGGTTTGTTTGTATACAACCACAAAGGTGAAGTGCTCATCAGCCGTGTCTATCGCGATGACATTGGACGTAATGCTGTGGATGCCTTTCGCGTCAATGTAATCCATGCTCGCCAGCAAGTCCGTTCTCCGGTCACCAATATAGCTCGCACCAGTTTTTTCCACATAAAGGTTAGTGAGCTGGCCTAATTATAATAGGTCAGCACTCCACGTCCTAGTTCAATTGACTGGAGGCGTTTGTAGTGATTAAAGGAATTTCTAATCGTTTTTTTTTTCTCTTGTAATTTGATTGTATGCAGCGTGCTAATATTTGGTTGGCTGCTGTGACCAAACAAAATGTCAACGCCGCCATGGTCTTTGAGTTCTTGCTGAAGATCATTGAGGTCATGCAGTCGTACTTTGGCAAAATATCCGAAGAAAACATTAAAAACAACTTTGTCCTAATTTACGAGTTGCTGGATGAAATACTCGATTTTGGCTATCCCCAAAATACCGATTCGGGTACATTGAAAACGTTCATTACCCAGCAGGGCATTAAGTCGGCAACGAAAGAGGAGCAAATGCAAATAACATCTCAAGTAAGTGTTATTGCCTTGTATTCTTGATAACATAAATATGTGTAAGTTATTCTTGGTAAATTATTGTTGCTGATAATGCGGGCGGTGATTCCACTGGTTGCAATACGATTTTTGACATTGGGTAGATGTTTGAAGAATTTATAAAAATGTGCACGAGTAGATTTTAGTCGACTTCAAAGAGAAACGCTAAAGTTGAATTGTGAACATTTTTAAATAATATTGATGCTCGTATAATTTCTGAGCTCTGTACAACACATGACTCATACTTTAAACATTGAATTCATTCAAACTTTGCCGAAATAATTCAATAAATGATGTATTCTTAGATTTATTTAATAAAAACTATGGTAATTTTATTAAACTATTCAAGAATTAAAAGTTTCATCCTTGCTAGAATTAAGAACATAACTTGGTGCAACAATATTTTTATGTCAACATATTATTGTCAATTAGGTATATGCATTCATAAATCCATTAAAAAATCACAAATCTGTTTTCAATTATTTTAAATTTGACTAGATAAATCACAGAAAATATAGAGCTATATATTATTGTTTGAATGGAGCTTTCATGAAATAATTTTACCTTTGTTTGATTTTAAACATTTGGTATATTTGTTCTCTTATGATGTCCTGTTGTTGGAGCAGCATTTTCAGTGTTTTTGTCGAACCGCTATTTTTATTAGTTATTGTTTCAAAGACTAGCGAAAAGTGATGCTTAAAATAAGATTTTTTTTTAAACCGAGACTATATATCCTGAAATTAAGCACTTAAGAACACAATTTGATAGGCACATGTTTGTATTCCAATTAGTTCAACGCGATCTATCTTCAGTCATTTAAAATTTTTTGACTCCTGCATTTTGATTTGTCGAAATAAAACTATAAAAACTTGCCCTTTTTGTCCTACAAATATTAGCCATTTTGCCTTTTATAGAAAAATAAAACATTGTAATCCTTCCATAACTAATCATCAAAAGCAATCAAGTCACGAACTAATACACATTAACAAAATCTCACCAAAAGATTTTATAATGGTTTAAAAACGTCAAATATTAGCGAATAGATATGTAAATGTTCCTCAGTTAAAGTTTGTGAAAAGTCCGTTGGCGTTTTCGTGTCAGTATCATGGCTTAAGGACTGTTTATATGTTTGAATACTTTTGATCTTTTTAAAGCCCTTGACTAGGTTCAAGGTATACATACATACATTGTCAGTAAAAAGTCATTGAATTAAGGCTATTTGTTAAAATTAATGTCTATATTATATCATCTTCTGATCCAACTATTTGTTTAATGCAATCTAATGTCTATCATATAGATTTAAAATACCTATTGTCGCATATTTAACATTTTTCCAAATACTATTCAACTTTTAAGGTTACCGGTCAAATTGGTTGGAGACGAGAAGGTATCAAATACCGACGCAATGAATTGTTTTTGGATGTTTTGGAATATGTTAATTTGCTAATGAGCCCCCAGGGGCAGGTGCTTTCAGCCCATGTTGCTGGCCGAGTTGTTATGAAATCATATTTGTCTGGTAAGTATAATTTTGGAAGCAGCAAGGAGTTCGCAGTAAATTGTTTTAATTGCTCTGCACGCCAACTAAAAATACAATAGCCAAAACTAATAACCCAATTGATTCTTTAAAATAATCAAACCAAGACAATTTCAAAATTACAGCTAACAAAAACATACACAAACGATGGCTTGGTGTCGAAACGCTTTCACGAATACCGATTTAATTTAACAGCAATGTATTCCTCAAAGCGATTCGGCAGCATAGATCCCATTGAAGCAGTAGAACGGCAGCAGCAATAATTTTCGATCTTTAAATTCCATTTTTAGGTATGCCTGAATGCAAATTCGGTATTAATGACAAAATTGTTATGGAATCTAGAGGTCGTGGATTATCTGGTAATTCTGAGGCCGATACTTCTCGCTCAGGCAAACCGGTGGTGGTTATTGACGATTGTCAGTTCCACCAGTGCGTTAAGCTCAGTAAATTTGAAACAGAACATTCGATAAGTTTTATACCGCCGGACGGTGAATTCGAATTGATGCGTTATCGTACAACCAAAGATATTTCGCTGCCATTCCGTGTTATACCTCTTGTGCGTGAAGTTGGACGCACCAAAATGGAAGTGAAGGTGGTATTGAAATCAAATTTCAAGCCATCCTTGTTGGGTCAAAAGATCGAAGTTAAAATACCCACGCCCCTTAACACCTCGGGTGTCCAATTGATTTGCTTAAAGGGTAAAGCCAAATACAAGGCCTCCGAAAATGCCATTGTGTGGAAGATAAAACGCATGGCAGGCATGAAGGAAACCCAATTGTCAGCCGAAATAGAACTCCTCGAAACAGACACGAAAAAGAAGTGGACACGTCCACCCATTTCCATGAACTTCGAAGTACCTTTTGCACCATCTGGTTTTAAAGTGCGCTATTTGAAAGTATTCGAACCAAAACTAAACTATTCCGATCACGATGTTGTGAAATGGGTGCGTTATATCGGTCGCAGTGGATTGTACGAAACACGCTGTTAAACGCCTAGTGTTTTTGCAAAAGAAACAAAAAACTTGATTAGGAATGGCCTCAAAGATCACTCAATTTTTCTTTTTTCAAACAAAAAAATATCGATGGTAATAAATGAGAAAAGGAAAACACTTTACATGAACCCTTATTGTATTTGTATTCCTTCGTGTTGATGCATCGTGCAGGTATTTAATCAATTTGAAAAATTGAATCATGAATAAATATTTGAAAAGTTAAGATTACAAATATATTATTATAATAATTCCAATAAAAATATATACAATATATTCTTTAATCTACTATACACATGTATTCCTACAAACACAAGAAATTTATTTAAAAACAACATACCCTGTATTCATTTAAATGCTTTATGTAATTGTATTAATTTTATATAATCCTTATATAATGTATAGCGTTATCAATGATATACACTTACTTTATTTTTTAATATTTTGTGTATTTTTCTCCTTCTTTTTGAAAAAGTTTACAAACACTTTTGAAGACAAATAATCTCCATTGAAAACAGTTATTGTTAGTTTTAGTCAAATATAAGTTATATTGGTTCTCGGAATATACTCTCAACGTTATAATAATGCAAGTGTTCATATACGATTAAATAGCCATAATTCCAACTGAAGTTAATGAACAATACCATTATAAAAATAAACTTATCATGAAAATGTAAAATGCATGAACCCGAAAAATATATTCCAAAATATTATGTTAAAAAAAATAAACAAGATTAACCAATAAAATATTCTCAAATCCATGACGTGGCATCGATTTAATTTGATATTATTTGTACTACTACACGCCGCCGCAACAGCTTACGATGGGTGGAGATTGTAAAAATTGCCCAACAATTTAAATCTACAATGAAATGTTATAAGTTGCAATTGACATGAGCATTTGTATAATGCACCCAACCAAAATATGAAGCTAGAACGTGTAAATCGTTAATTAGATAAAAATATACAAAGACAAAATAAATATTATAAATAAAGATCACAGTAAACACAGTAGTTATCGAATTTGATTCCATTCCCTTGTCTTCTTCGCTATGATTTGCCAAGGTTAGTTAAAAAGAACTATTTGTAAGTTTAAAATCTACTCGCAAATATTATTTAGTATTGAATTACTGATCGAGAACTTTTATACGAAATGCGTTACTACAGCATCGGTGAAGTTGGATCTAGCTATAACCGTCCATTGGTATGGTTGGCTAGATGGAGATAATGAAGGTTCCACGCGTTTTGGCTCATATTTTCTAAGACTTAAGTTCTGTTCCAGGTCAGCCGTGGTTATTTTAGCTTGATATGAACACCAAACCAGGGCTATCAGTGATGTATTATGATATATTTGTTATTTTTATAAAGATTAAAGATCTGATTGTATGGACATATTATACAGGGTGAGATGAAAAAAAACGGCAATCAACTTAGACTGCTGTCATTTCGAAGCCACTCGTCCGACAGCTGTTAAAATTATTCCAGGACAGCTCATTATATTTTTACAGGTGTACAAAAGCATTTTGATAAGAATTTTCCAGAAAAAATGTTATTCGTGATGGAATTTAAACGTGATAGTGTGATTTCTTTATATTTGGCTGGAAAACAACAAGTGACCATCGTTAGATCACCACAGCATTTAAATCGTTTGTGTCTCGTAACATCGCTCGTTACAGTGATAGTAGCATGCGTAGCCCGGCGTCAAGGAAGTGGACGGAAGAAAATTGCAACATCAGCAGAAGCGACTAGATGAAAACCCGCGTCGCAGTGGCCGAAAAATGGTTCGTAAGCTGACCATATCACAATATTCCATTCGGCAAATATTAAAAAAAGGCTCGGGATAAAACTATTGAAATTCCAAAAGTGCAAGTGCAAAAAAAAAAAAAAAAAAACTCAAAAAAGCTAAAGAAAGTGGTGAACTGCCGAATTTGTTTTTGTCGGATGAGAAATCATTCGTTGTCCAGCAGTTTGTAAACAAACAAAATGATCGTGTTTACTTGCCAAAGAGGTCAACTGGAAATGAGCACCTTCGGTTGGCCACCAAAACAGCCGAATATTATCGCGAAGGGAACTCAGCACCATGGCACTCAGCACGCGCCAAACAAAATTGGTTACAAAATGAGGGTACCAATCCGTTGGACTATTGTGTAGCCGGGAATGAGTCAAAATACCGCAGAGCAACATTCGGGCAGCGTGTGACGGTTTCATAGGCCGTTTGATGGCCATAATTCGTGTCAAAAGTGACCAATTCGAACAAATCTAAACTTATTCTAAAATTTGATGCTATTTCCGACATTTTTTGCTTTCATTCAATAAAATTAAAAAAATGTAAAAATTATGGCGCTTGACTTTTTATCTCACCCTGTACCCACGAATAATATAAAATAGCTTGAAATTTTTAAAAATATTCCTACTTTTTTCTTTTTATAACCTCCACCTTGAAAAGGAGAGTATATTAACTATGTCATTCTAAGTATTAAGGTATATATATATATATATTAATAATCAGCATAAAATTCTAAGTCAATTCAACGATGTCTGTCTGTCTGTTGGAATCACAATACATCCCACATTATTTGACGTACAGCTTCAAAATTAAGCACAACAATTTGCATTGTATTTAGGATGGTTGACATTGAAAATGACGGTACCCACTGATATTCGGTATTTTAATGATTTTTGGCACAATTTTCCCACGGATTTGTCTAAAAATTGGTAGTTGTTGGTAATAATGGGCTCTAGCTCCGGTGGCGGAATATTTTTCTATATGTCTACGTTTTCGTATAGCCCCCATATAACGTTACCCACCGATTTTCGGTCTTTGGATGATTTTTACACACATTTTTCCACGGATTTGTCTAAAAATTGGTACATGTAGGTCATAATGGGATCTAACTCCTGTGAAGTTTGTAATTCCCATTTACCCACGTATTTCTTTTTCCAAATTTAGCATTAAGCTTGGTTCCAAAATTTTCATTTTTTATTGGAGGCTCTAATTTACTGCAATTCAATGATTCCAAGTTTGTTATGGCAAGGTAGCTACTGATTAAAATACAAGTCAGTAGAATTAGTTGCTTCTTGATAAGACACGTTGAATAAAAACAGATTTTATAATTGATATCAGCGGCCGGTCAATTAGAATGAGTGTCCAGTTAAGTTTTTTTTATTCAAATAACTACAAGTAAACAAATCACTCATTTTTTCTGTACTGGAAGTCTGTTATCTGTTTTGAGTTAGGTTGATTTAACTGATTTCCAACAACTACCGATGACAACTTTTACCGGCGACCGATCGACTCATTTCGATATAAAAGGCACAACACTCTAGGAGCCATTTGTCCAAAAAAAAAAAACAATAGATTTATATTTCAAAATGGATGCCGGTGGAATTATACCCGATATTATTGATACTAAACCTGGTACTGTTGCCAAGGTTGTCTATCCGGGCGATGTTAAAGTTGAATTGGGAAAAGAACTGACCCCAACTCAAGTAAAGGACACACCGGAAGTCACCTGGGAAGCAGATGATAATAGTTTGTACACATTGCTGATGGTTGACCCGGATGCACCATCTCGTCAGGAGCCTTCGTATCGCGAAGCCTTGCATTGGCTAGTCATCAATATTCCCGGTAATAAGGTTTCAAAAGGACAAGTTGTTGCGGAATACATTGGATCTGGGCCACCTGAGGGCACCGGTCTACATCGTTATGTTTTCTTGGTATTTAAGCAAGAAGAAAACATTTCCACCGACAAATTCATAACAAGAACGTAGGTCCATGAAGTTTACTCATGATTCGAAATGTATATGTTTCACGAATTATTTTTTATTGCAGAAGCCTAGAAGGTCGCCTGAATGTAAAAACCCGAGATTACATTGCCAAGTATAAGTTGGGGGATCCGATTGCTGGTAACTATTATGAGGCCAAATACGATGATTTTGTTCCATCCTTAATGTCTCAATTCAAATCGAATGACCACGTATGAATTGTAAAATAACATCCATTTTACAATAATTGTATCAGTGTTTTTAAGATGTTAACGTGAAAACTATTTGAACAGCCGGTGTAATTGTACTTTTCTAAACTTGCAGAATTTGGTTATTTCAGAGTTGTTGATACTGTTACTATAATAAAATATTAATCATTTTTATATTACTGGTGTAATATTATTTTTTATCAGTTTTTTTTTTGTTTTAATCAACGATTATTCATTTAAATAACTTGTGGTTAACTTTTGGGTATTTTGTCAACATTTAATAGCACGAAAAATAATGAAGATCCACATACTCACCTGCTTTAGAGTACCTCAGCTTCGCAACGAGCGAATCAAAATGAAAAAGTTTAGTGAGACCTAAAATATTGTATAATTGTTTTTTTTTTGTTATACCCTCAACCATATGGCTAGAGAGGATATATATCAAAACGTGCCTCATCGAAATAACGTTTTAGACCATAGGTCTCTTTGGACCAAATCCATTTCAGGACATTTAGAGGCGACGTACGTCCGTCCGTCTGTCTGGCTGGTGTGCACGATAACTCTCGAAGGGAGTATCCAAACTTGGTACATCGTAATATTATTGTCAAACTTAGATCGAGTTCAGAGATGGGCAATATCGGTTCACTCCTTCCTGTACCTCCCCCATAAATTGTCAACATTTTCAAAGAAAATGATTTACTGCACACAAAGAGAAAGGATAATCCGATTTTGCACCAACTTTGCAAATCCTAATATTTGCATCAGTGTTAGTCCAAGTGCGAAAATGGACAATATCGGTCCACTCCATCCAGTACCTGCCCCACAAAAGGTCAAAATTTCGAAAAATTGTAACTCTTATAAAATGTTATGTAAGTGTCCGATTGTCTTCAAATCAAATATTTTTATTATCACAAGGTCTGGTGTGAAGATGAAATATATCGGTTCACTTCTTCTGGGTCCTCCCCACAAAGGGCCAAAATTTTGAATATTCATAAAGCTCATAAAACACGAAATATCCAACCGATTCCATTCAGACTTGACACATCTCGATATTTCCATCAACAAAAGATCTGTCATAAAGATGGTAGAGATCGGACTATTTCTTCTGGTACCTCCGCCACAAAGGTCAAAGTTTTAAATAACAAAAATGATCATAAAACCCGAAATAAGCATCGGATTCTCTTCAAATTACACATGTCACAATATTTTCATTAAACCAAGGTCTGGTGTGAAGATATATCGGTACACTCCTTCTCGTACCTCCCTCCCCCACAAATGGTCAAAAAGGGTCATGAAGCTCATAAAACGCAAAATTAACATCCGCATCCAACATAACATAACCATCTAACTCTCTTCAAACTTCACACATTCAAATATTTTTGCTAACGCAGGATCTGTTGTAAACATGATATATATCTGCGAACCCCTTCTGGTATTTCAACCACAAAGGGTAACAATTTCCAATATTTATATGTCATATATGTCATAGCTTCCGAAACAAGTCGGCGATTCTTTACAACTTGTTGTACCTAAATATTTCTCTTAATCAGAAATGTGATATGAATATGTGATTTATCGAAATTTTAAATAATCTTAACTCAAGTCTGGGAGTATACATCTGTCGGCAAAACCGACTGATACTGTTATAGTTGTTGGTTTTAAAAAAGTTAAGTTTGGCTGCTGGGCCAAACCGAATTATAAGCAATCCGTTAGAAAATGTGGTACAAATCCTACAAAACAAAAGGGTTAAGCAAGAAGAATAAACGATGTCTCATTTTTGTTTAGCAATCAGCTGGGAAATATATTGGAATGCTTACATTGCAAGCAATTAACTAAAGTACAATTCCTGATAAAAACTAAATGGACTAATGGGTGCGATGTTAATTTAATTGAGGTGTTAGCAATGACTGGTAATTATTTTTGGAACGCTTTCACTTTCTTCTTGGAATGGTGGTAACAAAGTTCACTTGTTTTGACTCATTTAGTTATGGGTTACCAGAATTTATATTGAAATGATAATGACTTGTGTGTGGGGAGTCAGCACATCGACGAGGGGTGCTTGCAAACTTAATTTCTGATAAGAGTAAATTGAATACCATCTGTGATTTCATAATTGATCACAGAGACCACCAACAACATTTGTTTTTTGTCATTAACGATAAAAAAGCTACAAGCCCAACAGTAGTTAAAGTAGGAGTAAATGTTTGGTGTTTTTTTTTTATTTTACACTCACTCGACTTTACTGGAAGTTTGTTATCTATCATTGAAGGTAAGGTGATCTATATAGTTCGCATGATAATGCAAAAAATTGAGTGCGTTTTGTAGAAAACTTGATAAAAAGGCTTACATTGGTCAAGAGCTCCATAGTTTTGTGTAGACAGTAGAATACGGAAAGTTATTTCTTTACAATGGATTCCGGTGGCATTATTCCCGACATTATTGATTCGAAGCCTGGTGCCGTTGCCAAGGTTACCTATCCCGGTGATGTCAAAGTTGAATTGGGCAAGGAGTTAACGCCAACACAAGTAAAGGATCAACCGGAAGTCAGTTGGGAAGCAGAAGACGGTGCTCTCTACACATTGTTGATGGTCGATCCAGATGCACCATCTCGCCAGGAACCTACATACCGTGAAATTTTGCATTGGTTGGTTATCAATATTCCCGGCAACAAAGTTGCTGATGGTCAAGTCATAGCCGAATACATTGGCTCGGGCCCACCAGAGGGTACTGGCTTGCATCGTTACGTTTTCTTGGTATTCAAACAGGAGGGCAAGATTTCCACTGACAAATTTATAGCAAAGACGTGAGTAGCTGGTTCCTTTTTTCGAGGAAAATCCCTGAGTTGTGTTTTCTTTTTCGTTTTAGAAGCCGCGAAGGTCGTGTGAGTGTTAAGACCCGAGACTACATTGCCAAATATAAGTTGGGAAATCCCATTGCCGGCAATTATTATCAGGCCCAATATGATGACTATGTACCAACATTGCAAGCACAACTAAAGTAAATAATGTCACTACAGACCATTGTATTTATTAAGTATAATCACTAGTTATGCCAATCAAGAACAATACAAATATATATCGCGATTCGTGGTTATTTGTCAAACATGAAAGAAGGTTTTTTTACTGCATAAATGGGTTGGTTGTGATAGCTATTAAACAATGGTTGAATGGCCCATACACTGTGGTTATTAAAGACAACATTTGTTAAATTTTTAAATTTCTCTCAGTTTGGATACATGAGAATCAAATAATTTATTTTTTTTGAATTTTTTTATTCCAATCATTCAATATCATGACATTGTCAAACATTTTAATATTTAACTTTCATTTGTTCAGGCTTTGTTTGAAGTTGACATATGCTATTGTCTGGCATATTGTTTATGTTTTGTTTCGAAATCCTTAATATTTCCCTTAATTTTCAGCAGCATGAATAGATTAGAAGATTCCAATACGCATAAAAGCGATTTTAAAGAAAAATAAAAAAACGATACGAGATATGTATGAGAGCCTAATTTTCTTTTAAATATTCGAAATAAATCAAATATGGCATAATGTCCAGAGGTTGCATGTAGCCTAAAATTAATGTAATGGTTTGGGTGTAGAGCGTGTTTCTATTATTTGACGATAGGCATAATTTTCTTACGACGTCCCTAACCGATATATTCAAAATGATATTTTCATGATAAAGCCAGATAAGATAAAACAATTAACAACAGGGGATGTAAATGTAATCAGCAATAGCATTGATTTGTTAGCGACAATTTTATGATGTGGCCAAATTTGTGTTTCCATAATTCTATAAAAAGCGGCATTTCTTAAAAAATCAACAGTAATAACAACTAGAAAAAAGCTACTTGGCAAGTAAAGTAGAAAAAAAAATCATAAAAAAGGAGGTGGTCCAGGAGTACGTCCCTGGAAGTAACCATGCTACAAGTTTATAAAATACAAACGTCCCTACTAAAAATAACAAATAAAAAAGCAGTAAGTTCGGTCAGGTCGAATTTTCATTACGCTCCATCATTTGGAACAAATTTGGCAATTTTCAAAAAAAAAAGTAGAATCCGTTAAAAGTTCTGTTAAAATTTTAAAAATGCCGAATAAGGAAGTGGCCGTTATATTGGGGTCTATACGAAGACGTGGACTTGCATAGGCAACTTTTATCATAGGTCATTACTCAAATACAAAATTTGACACAATTCCGATGAATAATGTCGCTAAAATCATCAAAATACGAAATATAGGGAGGTATCGATATATGGGGGCTACATATACATGCATAAAAAATGTCATGTCACATCTTTAGTACCTATTAAGAATTTCCAATTTAAAATAATTTCGGTGAATGTTGTATCTAAAAAAAATACGGAATATCGGAGGTACCTATATAGACAATACTTTTCCAGGCGGTCAAGAAGAAAACTTGACCTGTCTGCATACAAAAGACTGATCTGCGCAAAATGTTAGCTTCTTATCTTAATTCGTTTTGATTCTAGCGAGATTACAACAGCCGGACGGACAGTGCTAATCGTCTTAAAATTCTATCCTGATATATACTTTGTTATGTCGAAGACTATTATTTCGATGAGTTACAAACGGAAAGACGAACTTAATATACCCGCCATACTATGCATGGTAGACGGTTTAAAAATATACTTTCAATCATTAAGCCTTGGTTCGATTTAAAGTAAAGGGGAGCAACACCAAAAAAAGTCAATAGTTCAAAGCAAGGACTAATAGCATTTAATTCAAAATTCAATAATTTAAAAAAACGTGTTCTCGTATATTTTCGAAATGAATGTGTTTCATAAGGTATTTGTTTAAAGTCCAACTGTCTTTATCTTGCCTAGATTTCGAGGAGTTCTTGAACTTTTAATTTGTCAATATTTCTGCAGACTACCACTTTTTATGTATTTTCAGGACGTATAACCAATTCTGCTGAAAATAATTGTTTGTAGCATGTTTCGGTATGTAGAAAGTAAAGAAAGGTTAAGGTTATTGACCCTATTTTCAAAATATACAAGGCTGAGAAGAGCTGAAATTTTTAGCTCTCAACGGGAAGGATACTTGCAAAGGAAATTTCTTCATGTTTTGGTACACATCTCACATTTTAATATAAACACTTAAGATGCATGCACGATTTTTCAGACGATTTGGCTTTACAAATTGTGGTGATTGGCCAGGAAATCCCCACACCTATTTAATTTAAAGAAATTCAATGCATTTAAATTTTATTTTTGAACAATTTCACCCCTTCGTCTATTTTATTCTCTAGTGTTAACCATTAATGATTAATAGTTTAATTTTTCAGATGCGCTTTGTGATATAAACGTTGGTACAAACATACATTTGTAGATTATCAGATGTTCAGTTTGATTCTCAATTTATTTGAATATTTATTAGACATTCAAATACATTTTTAAATGAAATATATATACAGGATTTATTATTATTATTGTTGTTGGTTTAAAGGTTGTGCTTACACAAAAAAAAAAAAAAAAAAAAAAAAAAAAAAAAAAAAAAAAAAAAACAGTTTATTACAAGTCTACATTTTTTGCAGAGATTTATTATTTTATTGTACCGAAAAAAAATTTAAAAATTTCATTTAATCAGCGGCATTCATCAACAGACGATAGTCTGATATATTGAACGATTTGCTAAAATTTCGTTCAAATCTTGATTAAATAGCCATAGGCTCAGGTGTTTCATAGACACATCATTTTTTTTTCCGAGTCGAACAAGAATGCAAACATTATATAAAATCCACGTAAATTTACGCACACTAGGGTCGTCCTGCAAACGCCTTTTACATGTCGAACGTAAAGTTCAAGTAAAGGATGTCGAAATTAATATTGTCGAATGTGGACAGGGCGACAAAAGCATTTTGCTAATGCCAGGCATAATGGGGTCAATTTGGACAGATTTTGTTCCACAAATCAAAGAGTTACCTAAGCTACTACCAGGCCACACAATTATAGCTTGGGATCCACCAGGAAATGGCAAGTCGGTACCGCCTACAAGAGAATGGAGAACCGATTCTCTGCAAATTGATGCCGAATATGCTGTGGATTTAATGAAGGCGTTAAACAAACCAACCTTCTCGATTGTCGGATGGAGTGCAGGAGGTACAACAGGTCTTATTGCAGCGAACCGTTACCCTCATATGGTGGAGAAACTTGTGGTTTGGGGTTGTGGTGCTTACATGGCTCCCAGTGAGTTGAAGATGTACGACAGCATGCGAGATGTTAGCAAATGGTCAGCAAAAATGCTTCAGCCTATGGAACAAATATATGGCGTTGGAACATTCTCCAAACTTTGGAATGATTTAGTCGATACCCTACTCAAATTACCCAATGGCGATGTGTGCACAAATGAATTGGATGCGATCAAAGCACCAACATTAATCCTACATGGCAGAAAAGATCACATTAAGCCCTTTGAGCATGTCGAATATTTGAGAGAACATTTAAAGGATACCAGGTAGGACAACTAAATTAGTTTTTTATTTTATGGATTTTTGAGCCACCTTTATTCTTTACAGGTATTACGAGTTCCCCAATGGCAAACATAACATTCATCTCGAGTTTCATAATAAGTTCAATAAGTTAATAGCAGACTTCTTGTTGGACAAACCCCTTACGTAATCGCATTAATATTCCATATTAGTAGTTTATAAGTAGCATTTAGGATATATTCAAGTTCCAAATTTTTACTAAGACCAGTAATAAAAAATGAGGGCAACATGGCCAAAGTGATGTATGGCATAAGAACGTTTTGTGTCAAGTCATATATTCAGCAAAAGCCAAGCCACACTGACATTCTATAATAATCTACATAATTCTATCTTATTCCTTCACTTTACTATCATGATACAATAAGGAGGTAGGACAGCTTCGTAATTTTTTTTTTTTTTTTGAGTTTTGCCTTGTTAAGGCGAAGATCATATGTTTTATGATTTATGTGTTTGTTTTTCTCTTTCGAGACGAGCTTAATGATCTGAAATTTGCAGTGAAAAGGAAAGCCAGATAGACACTATCACACACTCACCACTATGCGACGCGTTTCGCCGTTGGTTAAGCGGCTCATCAGGCATATTTGGTGTGGGATGATGGCTTACAACGGCCGTTCTGTGGAAAGTAGTATATATTTCGAACTTATTGCAAATTAGCATATGCGATGTAGTGATGGATTTTTTGTCCACAACAACTACATTGCTTCCAATGCATACACTTGTTTTAGTGCTGCTTTAGGAAGACGGGTTAATGGCTCTGAACGTAGAGACTGCAACTTCTAGTTGGCTGCACACCAAGGTCCGCGGTTCAAATCCCACAGCCAGGCTCGGCTGAATTTTTTTTTTGAGTTTTGCCTTGTTAAGGCGAAGATCATATGTTTTATGATTTATGTGTTTGTTTTTCTCTTTCGAGACGAGCTTAATGATCTGAAATTTGCAGTGAAAAGGAAAGCCAGATATTTTACCTTATTTTTAAAATGAGTTAAATAGCGCGAAAGATAAGTGAAATGCCTGGATTTTCTCTCAAATATATGATCCAAAGGGTTCAATCTTTCAATTCCATGGCAAAAATGGTTATTATCCCCAAATAGCGTTCCACAATGTACGTTTCTTCTAATCATTGATTTTGAAAATACTTTTTTATTTTATAATATATACGTCATACATTTTTTAGATTGAATCTTCTACCCATTGTCATTTCAAATATCCAAACCAATACGAGGGCTATTCCGAGTCGTAAATAAATATTGTTCGTTCTCGGTACTAAACATCTTTGGATTGACATAAATGTCTGTGGAAATTTTCGGAGCTCTATATTTAAAGCATGGGACATTTCAACATAGAAAATAATGACTTAAGCTTAACAATAACATATTAGATAAATATTTCCGGGAGTACCAAAAGGACAAAATATGTGCTACGATTGTGAGGGAAAACGCAAAACGTTTATAGCACAAATTATTCAACTGCATTTTTGTCATCAAGCTCGATATAATGAGGCAGTATTCTTGATATTCTCGTACATAGCGTACATTCAATAATTTATTTAAAACTTTATTTCTCAATTATTAAAAATAAGCAACCAGACTAGAGAACAGCCATAATCAATTAGCCAAAAGGAAATCGGCAACTAATCTATTAAATTCATCCACATAACGTAAATGGAAATTATGCTTTCCGTCGGGAAATTCGTAGTACCTAAAAAAATGAAATTCATTAAGATTTTGAGTTTTAAATCAAAATTATTTGTATTTGGGTACCTTGCACTTTTAATGTGATCTCTTAAATAGGCCATGGGTTCGGGGGCTATCATTGAGTCTTTGTTGCCACGCAAAATAAGGGTAGGTGCCGTTATCCTACTAACTTCTTTTCTGCAAAAATCACCATCGTTTTCTTGCTGGAACGTGTATAGCATGTCAACCCATTCATTCCAAAGTTCAACGAATCGTTCAGGTCCATACAACTTTTCCATTGGCTCGCGCATGCTAGGTGACCACTGGCTAACATCTCGTAATCCATGGAAGGCTTTTACTTCTGTCGGTATCAAATACGCTCCAGCGGCACAGACAATTAATTTCTCGACATTGTTTATGTAGGTACCAGCAGCTATAAGTCCTGTAATACCTCCACCACTCCAGCCAATAATGGAAAACTTAGGCCTACCCAGCTGTGTCATCAAGTCCACCGCGCAACGTGCATCATTGTGGAATACATCTAAACCCCATTTTCTTTTAGGTGGTATGGACATACCATAACCAGGCGGATCCCAAGCTATTATTTTGTAATTTGGTAATAGTTTTGGCAATTTTTCTATTTGTGGTTTAAAATCGGTCCACGCTGAGCCTAACGCTCCAGGCATTAGTAAAAGACTTTTATCACCATTGCCACATTGAACAATATTAATATTTATTCCATTTACATTGACTTTCTGTTCGACATGGCTAAACCGTTTCGTTACAATTCTTGGCAGGGTTACAAGGGAACTGAATGCTTTTAATCGCAACTGTAACATTTTTGTTTTGGGGAGAACAACTAAACTAGTATCAAAGATCAAAATGTCAAAAACTATTATTTGATCGTTTTTAATGATCAGACGTTAACAGCTATTCAGAAAAAATTGTTTTATTCGATTTGCTAATGCCCTATACTGATAAGCATTTTTTGAGAACTTTTTATGTATGTCACGTATATTACCATGCTACGAGGTGTTGCATAAAGTTGAGATATTTTAAAGTCGTTTATGATTTCACATCCATGAATTCGGATATCAAACCAAACTGTAAGAATGTGAAACTTTTTACTACGATATACGATTTTCCCGTTATGATATCGAAAAATAGTGCAAGTAGACTCTTGCAGGTTCTGGAACAGAAAATTTGTATATAGGAAGGACTCAATATGAGAAAAGGATTGTTCAATTAATTATTTGTTTAATTGCAATTTTTTTTATAAAAATAAACAATAATAGACACTTGTTATCTGCGAAATTTGTATTATTTTATAATGGCACTTTATTTACAATATTACAGTTACAACAATTTACATAATCTTTTTGTTAATTTAAACGAACATTTAAATTTTACAATTTCACAAACTATGGTCGTATTGTGTTTGTTGCTCTCAAATCGTTTTACTTTTCCAACAAGAAGCCGGCCACAAGTTTATTAAATTCTTCAGCGTAGCGTAAATGGATGTTATGTTTGCCTTCTGGAAACTCATGATATCTGGAATAAACGCAAACATTTTAGTTATATCAAATCACATCGTTTACAATATAATTCTTCTTTACCTTACGTCCTTGAGACGTTCCTTCAGGTATGGAATATGTTCTGCGGCAATCATTGGATCTTTTTTGCCATGCAAAATGAATGTGGGTGCTTTGATTTTTTCAACTTCTTCTTTGCAAAAGTCGCCATTGCGATCGGTATAAAAGGCAGTTGCTGCATCCACCCATTCACCCCAGAGTTCTGCAAATCTGTCGACACCGTAAACCATTTCCATGGGTTCACGCATACGCGCTGACCACTTGCTGACGTCACGTATGTTCTTGAAGGCTTCTACTTCTTCGGGCACCAAATAAGCACCAGCACCCCAAATAATCAACTTTTCTACGTTGTCAGTGTAGCGGCCAGCCGCAATTAGACCAGTAATACCACCATCACTCCAACCCACTATTGAAAACTTGGGCCTACCAAGAGTTTTCATCAAATCCAATGCGCAGCTAGCATCATTGTTAAAGAAATCCAAGCCCCACTGTCTCTTAGGTGGGATAGATTTACCATAGCCAGGAGGATCCCAAGCAATAACTGTGTAATTGGGCAGTAATTTTGGTAAGTGCTCTATTTGAGGCTTGAAATCTGTCCATGCCGATCCTAATGCTCCGGGCATAAGTAAAACACTTTTATCACCCTTTCCGCTTACCACAATGTTGATTTCAAGATCATTTACTTTGACTTTGCGTTCTACGTGTGCGAAACGTTTTGCAAATGTCCCTGCGAGCCCTTTGCAGGACGACATTAACTGGGAACGTAATTGCAACATTTTTCTCCCGACCAAATTCAAAATAAAACGATTAGCTTAAAAATTAAAATAGAATTGGATGGCTGGACTACGTTGGACCGGCTGATATATTATGAAGATTATGAGATGAGGTACGAATCTGAAAGTTAAAGCAAATATGTCAAGAGGAAGTAAGGAAATAGAGAAAACAAAATTCGCCGGCAAATGAGGATGACGAACAAAGCGAGTGATAAAGATGAGAATCAAAGTAAAGACAACAATGACAACAATTGCTAAAGGGACTTCAAGATCGAAACATACTGTCGAAAGGGTTCTAGAAACAATTTTCTACCATTCTACCATTTATTCACTGCAGGGAGCAAGTTGAGTTTAGGGCCCATTGAAAATGTTGAATGAAAAACAAGTAAAAAAGCATTAAGTTCGGCCGGGCCAAACTTTTAATACCCTCCACCCTAGGGTAAAAGAACATTAGAAAAAATGTGGCAAAAAACATTAAAATGCGAATATCGGGAGGAACCGTTATATAGGGGCTACACCAACACGTGCACCTATAATTACAATGTTTCGCCACACGAGCTAGGACCCATTATGACCCACAAATACCAACTTTTACACAAATCAGTGAAAAAATGTGGCATAAATCATCAAAATACCGAATATCGGGAGGTACCGTTATATGGGGACTATACCAGAACGTGGACCTATACATGCAATGTTTTGCTACACGCTCAGGGACCCGTTGTGACCTACAAATACCAATTTTCAGACAAATCCGTGAAAAAATGTGGCATAAATCATCAAAATACCGAATATCGGTAGGTACCGTTATATGGGGGCTATACCAAAACGTGGACCTATACATGCAATGTTTTGCCACACGCTCAGGGACCCGTCATGACCTACAAATACCAATTTTCAGACAAATCCGTGAAAAAATGTGGCATAAATCATCAAAATACCGAATATCGGTAGGTACCGTTATATGGGGGCTATACCAAAACGTGGACCTATACATGCAATGTTTTGCCACACGCTCAGAGGCCCGTCATGACCTACAAATACCAATTTTCAGATAAATCCGTGAAAAAATGTGGCATAAATCATCAAAATACCGAATATCGGGAGGTACCGTTATATGGGGACTATACCAGAACGTGGACCGATATATCTCATTTTCAATACCAACCATCCTAGGGACAATACACACACTTGTGCCAAATTTCAAAGGTCTACGTCAAATAATGTGGGCTCTATCGTGATTTCAACAGACAGACAGACAGACGGACAGACAGACAGACGGACAGACAGACAGACAGACGGACATCGCTAAATCGTCTTAGAATTTTATGCTGATTATGAATATATATACTTTATGGGGTCTTCGACGAATATTTAGAGGTGTTACAAACGGAATGACAAAGTTAATATACCCTCCTACCCATGGTGGAGGGTATAATTATTGCAGTTTGTAAAAATATTCACATTGTAACAACATCCAATTTGTGTGGTATGAGAAAACATATAAAAAACAATAATTATTTTTGACAAAACAGTTTAAAAAATTTGACATATAATTGTTCCCAAGGGTTGATGCATCTACCTGTATTCTTCTACCATGGGGCTATGCTGGGATCATTTTGAAATTTTTATCATAGGTTACATACCAAATAAACGGATAAAAATACTTATTTAACCGGTTCTACTTAACCGATTTATACAATATACATTTTATTAAGCTTATGGAAATATCTATCAAATTATCACACTTGTGATAGTGTTATTTTACCCGGTTCGGTAGTAATACAAAAAAAGTTGGTATTATTCTACCGAACAAATTTGTATGAATGGTGCGGTATGTGTCGTTTTTCCTAAGAGATTGGCCATAAAAATCATATTATTGAGATATTCTCCACTAATATGTGTTTCAACTTTATAACTTTTTTAAGTAACGGGCATTCGGCCGGGGCTTGAGATATCCTCCTCCAACATCGACTTTTTTTAAGTAACGGACATTCGGCCGGGGCTTGAGATATCCTCCTCCAACATCGACTTCGTGGTCGTATTATTGATATTTTCTTCACTAATATGTGTTTAATCTTTATAGCTTTTTTAAGTAACGACCGTTGCTTGAGATATCCTCCTCCAACATCGACTTCGTGGTCCGTAGTTTTTCTAAACTTCATAACTTCTGTAAGTCACCGGACTTCAGCCGAGCAGAATCGGTGATTCGTGACAATTGGTCAAAATTTAGATATGACTTCCATATATATATTAGTCCGATTTCATGTTGTTGCGCGCCATATGCATAATATTCCTCCAAATTGGACATATTTCGGCCGAATTCAGCCTAGAAGCAAGTGAAATTTGGTGAAATTCGGAGTTTACGTCCCTTATATTCGTAATATGCATTCCTCAATATTAGGTGCAGAATATCAAATTTAACTCAGAAATACCTCTGCCAAACTTCATTGAGATCGGTTCAGATTTGGATATCGCTCCCATAAATATCCGATTTCACTTTTATTGTGCACTAAATGGTTAATATAAGCCCAAATGGAGTGCATTTTTCACACACGATTTGGAGCAAGTCAAATTTGGGGAAAATCGGTTCAGATATAGCCATGGTAGAATTGAGAAGGTAAAGGTAATTTTTTCAAAATCATTCATGTGACAACCTCTAATTGTCAAAATATATATTTATAAATCCATTGTACATACACAAATCGGGGTTTGGAACTTGGTTTCTATGCAGTGAAAATTGACAAGGTAAATTACAGAGAATGCAGAGATGGGTATACTTATTTGAAATGGCTTTAGATTCTTAATTTTAGCATGGATATAGCCATAGGAAAAATATATATGTTTCACAAGATTTCGTATTTAAGCCTTTCACACCTGCACTCCGCAACAACGTTACTTCGTACCAGCTATCGGATTCTGCTAAATTTTAAAGAGATCGGTTCAGATTTGGACATAGCTTCCATATATATCGTTTATCTAATTTCACGTTTACTGTGTACCAACAGTGTAATATCAGCACAAATAGGATGGATTTTGGTGAAAATCGGTTCAAATTTAGTGGAAATCGATTTAGATTAGTGTATGTTAAAATTGCCATTTTACATATGATTCATAATTCTAGCTATCACATACATGCATATATATTTTTTTTTATTTTCTTTGTACATATATACTTTACACATGTATTTCACAACATAAATGTCGTCCTTGTATCACACGGTGTGTACAACTTCTACATGTGGAAAATTTTGACACTAAATATATAAAACCGTATCGTCTGATTGCAGCTTAAGGAAGAAACTTGATGTTTCTATAAAAAAAAAAACATTGGAATAATATTTTTATGTTATGTAATAATAATAATGAGGGTTATTATTATGGTGCCACTTGTAATCAATTAGAAACCCTTGAAAAGAGTCAAAAGTAAAAATATAGCTAATAATTAAAAAAAAAAAAAATAAAACATTTTAGAATTTTGTCAGTATTTAAGTGGTACCCTGTATGACATTTCGGCTGTTGGGTATTGCTGTTGTGGCATGCGCCCTACAAAGTTGACAAAGTCAAACGTTTTGACAGTTCGCTTTTTGATAGGTGGTGAATAGGACGTGCTAACCGAGCTTGTGAAAAATCGAAGACAATTTATTAATGAAAATAAATATGGATAGTAGCAACCGTTGAAAATCTTATGCCAAAGTGTAACGAGTCTTTTAAAACAAACAAAGTAACAATTAAAAAAACCGACATAACAATATGTACGACTGAGGATAAAATTTACATATCGAGTGTTCACAGCGGCATCTCTCATTCTTGATAAATTCCTTATGCCGAATACTCTGACAAACTTCTAATGGATTGCTCTTTTGTGCATTCCTTACTTCGTCACAAACGACGCTATTGAGGCTAACTACAACGATGACGTCGACAGAGGCGACAATATTAATGATGTATAAACCAATTAAGCTAAATTGTTGTGAGGATTAAGGCTCGCATTTAGCCTAAATATGTCGTATTAACGAACTTTGCAATGTATTAAGTAGATTTACACTACAACTCATACTACAACAACAACAACAACAACAAAACACATAACGACACTTACATACATTAGTGTAATATTAATGGATAGTGGTTGTTACATGGGCGATGATGGCAAAGCCAGTAGAAATTGTGAAGTCAAACGCGAGTACTACTCCGTCAATCACGAAAATCAATTTTGTCAATTACTTAAGTGCGCGGGTGTGTGTGTTTATGGATCTCTTAAACTTCGAGCATAGTAGATGTTCATTTAGACAAATGAAACAATTTAGTTAACAACGATACTATTCAATTTCGTCATTTTGACAGTAGTGTTAAACATCAGTGGGTTTTCGCGATAATCGAAATTTCGCAAACGACCAAAAAACATATGAAATGAACATAAAATACATATTCTTGAAATAAATTTGTGCTTGGGTTAAGGTTTTAGTGGGTCCGATGTACCCCTAGGAATCCCCACAGATCGACTAAAAATATAAAGACTACTCGTGGCAATTAAATCACAATTAGTGCAAAAAATATAGCAGAAGAATCGTTTGCAATTTGCGCGCCTCCAGAAAATTAAACTTGCTCGCAGGATGTTAATGAATAATGAGAGAAAGAGGGAGCGTGACGTTACAAGGAGATTACAGAGTGTTTGTATACGTATGTATGTATGTTGGTATTCACTGAATTACGAACACGAGAATGTGTGTAGGTGTATGCAAACGAATAGCGGTGAAACAAAATTGTCATACACATCGACACGAAATCGTGGATAGTAAATTTGATAACTGAGACACACAATGCCAGAAACACACTTTGGCAGCAATGAATAAAACGAATCAAAATCATGCTTTACACACCGATACCAATCCACAGTCACATACACACACACACACACTCACAGATAAAGAATCACATGAAAAAATACGTGGGTTTTTGTTTTCCGTTCTCAAGAAGTTGGTATCGGGGAAGTAATATTATTTCCTTGAACTTTAGTCTGTTATTGATGATAATACCAGTTATTTCTTAACACTCAACATAAATGTGTGGGTGTATGTTTGTAGGTATGTGGATGTGTGTGTGTATTTATTGAAAAATAGAAATGCGGAAAAACAATTTATCAAGGATATGACAATGCATCAAACATTTAATATTTTATGAATCCAAATGAAACATGGGATGAAAGAGTAATGGAATGCCATTGCAGGGAAAGTGTGGATTTCGAATCGAATAAATCGAATAGATAACAGATATAGTACGTCGTATAGTATAGTATAGAACAAAGTTTTCCATTTCCATACTTCATCTTAAACAGTTAAAAATATAGGTATGCACAAAATTTGAGGGAAATCGAACATTTCTACCAATTTTATGCGAAATCATAAGTTCCACATTCATCTCAGGTTTATGGTTAAGAGAAGCTTGTTTCAGATTTTATAATAGTTTTGGTAATTCAAAACTTTTACTTTTTTGGGTAAGGTATCAGAAGGAATGGTCCGATCTCTACCATCTTTATAACATAACTTGTGTTAGTGGAAATAATGGGATGTGTGAAGTATAAAGACCACCGAAAGCTTGTTTCAGATTTTATAATAGTTTTGATAATTCAAAATTTTGACCCTTTTCGGGGAAGGTACCAGAAGGAATAGTCTGATCTCTACCATGTTTATAATAGATCTTGTGTAAATGAAAATATTGAGATGTGCCATGCCAAGCCTGAATGAAATCGGATGTTAATTTCGCGACTTATGAACTTCATAAATATTCAAAATGTTAACCCTTTGTGAGGGAGGTACCAGAAGGAGTGGACCGATATATTCCATCTTCACACCAGACCTTGTTTTAATAAAAATATTGTTATGTGTTTAATTTGAAGACAATCGGACACTTATGGACATCACATTTTATAAGAGTTATAATTAATCAAAAATTTGACCCTTTGTGGGGGAGGTTCTTGATGCATTGTCCATTTTCGCACCTGACCTACCACTGATGCAAATATTAGGTTTTGCAAAGTTGAAGCAAAATCGGATTATCCCTTATCTTTATGTGCAAGTAAATTACTTTCTTTGAAAATTTTGACATTTTGTGGAGAAGGTACAAGAAGGAGTGAACCCATATTGCCTATCTCCGAACTCGATCTAAGTTTGACAATAATATTACGAGTGCCAAGTTTTGATCAAATCGGATACTCTCTTCGAGAGTTATCGTACGCGTTAGCCAGACAGACAAATGGACGGACGGACGGACGGACATGGCTAAATCGACTCTAAATTTCCTGAAAAGAATTTGGTCCAAAGAGCCCTAGGGTCTAAAACCGATATTTCGATGAGGCACGTTTTGGCCGTATAAAATGATAAATATCCTCTCTAGCCATATGGCTGAGGGTATATCTCTAGCCATATGGCTGAGGATATAAAACCAGGGTTATTGGAGATTACAATATTCGGCAAAAATATTTTAGCCCATATTGGTTAATATATTCGATCGAATTTGAAGTCTTCAATACAATTATATCAACTTTAGGAACCACTTGGTGCTATTTCCAAAGGTAGAGGCATATAAGGCGATTATGTGACAAACTAGGTTTGTCCGGATACCTCATTAATTGTTGCAAAATTTTACTGAGAGTCATCAATTAACACAAGGATATAAGACTGAAAGTTTGCAAATTTTTGCCGTATAGATTTCTTCTTGCAACTCTTCTTCGTCTTCCTGCGACAAACAATTTACGGTTTTTATTATCCGGTGAATTAATTTTGAAAAACGAAGTTGCATTTCTTCATCGTAAGATCGTTGTATCTGTAGTTGTTAGCAGTCCTCTAGGGAACAGTTTGCTAATGCAGACTTTCGATATTGGTTATTAAAATTTGTGGAAAACATTCATAGGGCGAAATAAATATATATTTGTGCATTAGTGTATAAAAAGAGGGTATTTTTTAATTCTAATTAAAACTTGAAAATTCCTAAAATTCTGTTTTTTTGCATTACATAAATATTTATTTGTTTTTTTTTTTTTGGTTTCTGTCTTCAATGCTGAAAACAAAAATTGTTAAGTACAACAGATTGCGCTTTTATTTCTTCTTGGGCAAAATCATCGTGTATCTATACAACTCCAAAAAATACCATTGCCAAAAGACACAGATGCATTCACACGCACACACACACACACGCACACTCTATCACTCAATATATCCTTCAAACTTTGTTACCTTGTAAACACTTCACTTCTTGAACGCACTTCGTTGCAGTGGCTTTTAACAATGTAATGCGCATTGCCACAGCAAGGATACAACAGCAACAACAACAGGAATGGCAGCAGCAACATGGATGACAAAAACGAAGCAGGAGGAATAGGGGAGGACGTAGCAGCTGTTAGAATACGGGAGAAGAACAATTCATATTTTCTGGTGTCCATGTGAGTGTATGTGTGTGCGCGTGTAATTGTATACATCCATACACACTGATGGTTCAAGTGGTGCAGGTTATGAACCTGTTTCCTTAGCTTCTGCTTTTTGGTATACTACGCCACCGACCGTCCAACCGACCACCCAGCGAATTTACTCAATGTGTAGATTGTCATGAATTAACTCTCCTCCTTCCAAGAGACATTCACACACACACAAATCCACACACACATACCCATAGCATAAGAAAAAAGCTTTCCATTTGTATGGCAGAAAGAAAAGCTTTTTATCCGTTCACGAAAAAAATCGGAAAACGGGAATACATTTCTAGTCGACGTTTCATAGGAACATTTTTGGAAATTGCAATTTAGTATCGTCGCGAATGCAGTGTGGATCAATACTCGTAAAACGTTGGAGCTCCGTGTACGCGAAAACTGAAAACCAAACACACATACACACACATAGAATCCTTTTCCTTCTCTGCATGTGTGTTGTGTCTGTGTGTGTTTGCTAACTGTAAAGGAAGAAAAAATCTTGAATTTTTTCGGGGGTAGACATGATTGTCCTTCATCGGGTTTTGAGGAATCTTAAATATTTTTGTTAAAAGAAAATAAAAAAAATTGAAACATCTTCTCGATTTGTTAAGCAAAAGTACGCGTACGGAGCAAGCAAACAAAGTGAAGCTATTGTCTGAAATATTATGTAAAAACAAGTAACACCAGCTACAACATAGTATAGTGTAAATGGAAATTAAATTTACTATCATTTAATTGAATTTTGTGAAAAATAAAACGCGATGTTCTCAATGGAAACAAAAATCTAAAACAAATTTGCATTTCAAGAAAAGTTTTGTGGATGTATTGGAATTTTCATTTATAATTGCCACTTTCATACAACAAAAAAAAAAAAAGAAATTTAGTATGTACACATGGACGTTCCGAAATCGTTCTTGTGGGCATATTGTGGCATTGAGCCAGGCAAGTGATGGTGCAGCAGCAAACGCCAAGCCATTTCAGTTCGGGTGCCAAATATATTCAAAAAATTTAAAATTTTGCATAAATTGAATACAAATTTTCAAGCCATTGGAAAATTGAATTGTTAAAAAAGAAATTGGTGTTTTTCATCGACAAGATATAAGCATCCTTAATAGTCCTTAATAATATAAAGTAAGAGCTTTTTCTTTGGCAGCAAACATAAAGCTCTACGCCAACTCACAGCTAACTTCACTTGAATGGTTTGAAGAAGAGCCCAGAGAGCTTTCGTTTTTTATTAACCATCAACATGGGGTGAACAGAAGGTTGTCGTTTTTTTTTTGGCAAATGTATACACACACACCGAGATAAAGGCCAACATATATACATACACATACGCATACATACTACATACATACTTATGTATACGCTTTACGTTGCATGCCACAATACCAACCATGACAGAAAAAAAGGTTCAATGAAAGTTACTCGTATTCGTGTGAAACCATAACAGCAACAAAAACAACAGCAACAACACATTAACCACGGCTACCGACGACCACAAACAGTCGCAGAAAGAAGAATTTTACAGCGAAACTCTAGCCAAGGCAATGACAACAACATATGGACATTTCAACTCTCACTTGTCCACTTTACACGCTCTCGTTCGCCGCGTGTGTGTGTGTGTGGCATAAATGTGGCTTTGGTTTATTCTATTAAAAAAAGAACTCCGTGGGATCTTAGGTCAATGAATATTTCTTTAGAGAATAAAAATAGGACTATTTTTTGTTTAAATAAAAATAAACAGTCATTCTTTAGCCCAACTACCTCATTTAGTAAGAATATCTTGTTTGCTGGTCAAAATCTGTAACAGTTGAAGCATTCTTAACTCGGTCCCTGGATGACTTAATTTAAAATTCACAGTCTTATTGCTTTAAATACAAATAATTCTGCCAAAAAATCAAAAAAAAAAAAAATCTGCTTTGGAAAAGTTAAGTTCTTGAATCTTTTTAAGTAAAGTAAACAATTTATTGGAGCCTAACAAAAATGTATTCAAACTGAATTTTCATTTTTTTTTTTTTGGCCTGAGATTATTTTTATGAATTAGTTCATTTTCGATAAAATCTTAGGGGCCTGAAACTTACAATGAAAACTAAAAGCCAGGATATGAGTCTTTTCGGGTGCACTTGCCCTGATAAGCAATGTTCAAGTCGAAGTTAGTTAAAATCTTATACTTCGAACTGAGATTCATTATTAGCAAATGAAAATATCAAAAGAGTTTCGTAACAAATTTACAACAAAACAGTTAAATTTTCAAAATTCATATAAGTTTGGATTGTAACTAAAGAATTGGATCCAACCGATTTATCCACGTTCGCATGTATTGTATTGTAGCCACTCTGGGGACCAAAGTTAAGCTGATAAAGAAAGGTAGAATATTATATAAATTGGCTCTTGAAAGTCGTATTACCAAAAAATGCAACAAAAACAAGATCCGTTTTCCGACAGGGGGCCATAGTTTAGGTTTAGATTTTCCCATATATCGTTAGAACTTATCTGAACGTAATTGAAAACTATATTCTTGGACAATTTTTAGAGCACTGCAGGGTACGATGTCTCTGGACACCGAGTTGCTGTCAATGTTTAAAATTCCACAATAACCAATACCATAACAAAAAAAAAAACATAAAATGGATAATCGTGCTCTCATTTATCCGAAGCTTTTACTCCAGCTCTCTCTCTCTCTCTTTCTCTCTCACTTTCTTTTTATATAAAGTTCTCCCTTGAAGAGGATAATTCACTCTGCTCTCGCGCTTCTTTCTCTCTCATTTCTCATGTGTTTCCTTTTTTGAAATGCCATTAAAGCAAACCCAACAACATGAAAATAAAATCGCGCAAAAATTACTATAGCCAACAAAGTAGTGACACTGTTTTTGTTGTTGTTGACATCAAATGACAATAGTCCTCCATACAACAAATTAACCACAAAAACAAATACAACAACAAACACGGCATACCGTTATTAAAGAGATAAAAATAAAAACACGACAACAATTTAAATCACAACAAATTAAAAGCAAAAAAAAAAAAAAAAATACTCAATCATAGAAATCTAAACAACAACAAAAGACAGAACCCCGTCAGTTTCATGTGAACACCATTAGAAAAGCAAAAAAAAAAGCTAAACTAAACAAGCCTTCGTAAATAAATAATTCAGAAGCGTATCGAGTGAGTTTAAATGGCTTTTATCGCTACATTTGGATATTGAAGTGCATGTCCCAGGCCATAAAACGTCAACATGAAATGTAAATATAAACTAAATTGAAGTGAATTGCAGAGCGTACAACAACTTGCCTAGCTTAGCCAGCCGGTCGACCGTACACATACACACTCACACAGTTACAACACCCGTTGGTATCCTCCGAATTTCGAATCAATATTCCATTTAGATCAGCCTAAAAGTGCGGTTCGTGTGGTTTGGTTTTTTTTGGAACACGCAAAGCCAATGCGGGAAGGCGTTATTGCAACATTGTAATGAAATTTTTCAAACATATCACCAGATCCACAAGATATCGCGAATAACAACAGCAGCGGCAGTAATAACCAATTTTAGGCAAATTTTGAAAATAGATGAACCCATGAAACGAAAATAAATAGAAAACTAAAAAAAAAAAACAAAAAAAGAGGAACGCTGTTGCAACAAAAATGTTGTCTTTAGCAGGATCCACAACAACAGCCGTTGAATTCCCACTAAATAAACGAGGGCACAGAAACCAATCAAGAAGAAAAACAATATTAAGGCCATCACCATCAGCCCCTCCACCACCCCCACAACCATTCTCATCAGCAGTAGCAGCAGCAACATCAACAGCCACTGCAATTCCATCAGAGACTGCAACATCTTTGCCGCCATTGCCGTTCACATTAAACATGGATTCGATGGAAGACTCAATTTGTCCAGCAACAACAACAATTTCAAAGTCTTCTTCATTGTCGCGTAATCCGCCATTAATCCATCATAAGACGTTGATGCCCAACATAGCCATTGGTCATCGTGGCAGCACAAAGTGCACCTTATTCCGACGCCTGCATTCGATGTTCTTGATTTCATTGCTGGCCTTAATCCTATCCGGCTGTTGTTTGACCACAGCCGCGGCCTTCCAATTGGACGGCTCCCAGAACTCATTCGCCCAATTTCGCAAATGGTATGTCGGCCTGAATGGTTCCCTTGAACTGGAATTCAAAACAGAGCAGCCCAACGGCCTGGTCCTGTACACGGATGACGGTGGCACCTATGATTTTTTCGAATTGAAACTGGTCGAGGGCGCCTTACGACTGCGCTATAATTTGGGTGGGGGTGCACAGATAATAACAGTTGGACGCGATTTACACGATGGACATTGGCATAAGGTTCAGGTAAGAATAGCAATTTTTATGGATTATTGATATTAAAAAAAAAAAGTGGGAATTTCCAAGCATTGAAAACATATTTTTAAGTAAATTTTACAAAACAAGCATTATTGGGATCAATCTTGAGTTTTTTGAATATTTAGCTACATTGAAATGCACAAAAGTGCTCTCTTTGCTTATGCTTAACGTTGTCTTCAATGCGTCAATTGAACTAGTAAGGAAAAGTCAAAGGTCGTGCGGGCCACTATGCATATTTTGTAGAGCTCCCGTAACCCAAAAAATTATTTCAAGTAGATCATACCACCTATCAACACTTAGCTTTAGAGCAGTTATAATATGGTTTTAGAGAGAACTAATATATGGGAAGTAAATTCAATTCTGAATCGACTTTCACTAAATTTGACGGAGATATTTTTATCTTTTACAACAAATAATATTGCCAATATATATCGGAGCCGAGTTCCTCAAAATGGAAACCAAAATTCCGGTATGTCCCGAAATTCACCCCATTTGCGCTTATATTAGCCAGTAGTTGTACAACAAACCTGAAATCGGATTAAGGATGTATATGTGAGCTATATCCAAATCCCAGCCGATCTCGATATTTTTTGGCAAAGGTATTTCCGAGCTCTATAAGATATCTGGTATCAAATATCTTTGTTGTCTAATGCATATTACGATTGCGAGGAACTTAAACAATTACCACGAAATCGGTTGAAGTTATATATGGGAGCCATATCCAAATCTGAACCTATCTTGATAAAATTTGGCAGGGGTATTTCTGGTTGGTATCTGATACCAAATATCATTCTTGTGGGGTGCATATTACGAATGTGGTGGACTTAAACACCAAATCGGTAGCCATAGCTATATTTGAATCGATTTTCACCAAATTGTATGTACTTGCTTATAGCCTGAATTCGGTCGGATGTACCAAAATTCAGGTCATTTGGACTGATATTGGACATTTAGTGCACAATTAACCCGAAATCGGTTGAAGATATATATAGGAGCTATATCTACATTAGAACCGATTCTCACCAATTTCAATAGGGTTCGTCCTTGGGCCAAACAAATACTGTTTGGAAAATTTAATCTCAATCGGATAATAAATACGACCTGCACTGTTGGAATGTCCAAGGTCTTCTACGAAAATGTTTGCGTGTCCAAGATTTTAATACACCCTCCAGAATATTTTCGCGATAATATTCTGCATTTATTCTGATGCCAAGGTGATTAATACGAGCGGAGGTGATACGGTGATTAATATGGAGGCCCACACCATCACCATGGCCGCCGCTTGAGTTCTGGTGGCCAACCGAACGTGCACATTTTCAGCTGACCTCTTTGGCAAGTAAACACGATCATTTTGTTTGTTTACAAACTGCTGGACAACGAATGTTTTCTCATCGGAGAAAACCAAATTCGTCAGTTCACCACTTTCGGCCAAGCGAAGCAACTCTTTAGCTCTTTTGCGGTGTAAGTTCTTGCACGTTTTGGAATATCAATGGCTTTAACCCGAGCTTTTTTTTCAATATAAGCCGAATGAAATATTGCGATATGCTCAGCTCATGAGCCATTTTCAGCCACTGCGACGCGGTTTTGGTTCAAGTCGCTTCTTTGCTTTTCAAACCATTTCTGCTGATGTTGCTGTTTCTTCCGTCCACCTCCTTGACGTCAGGCTACGTGACACAAAAGATTTATTCACATTTTAATGCTGGAGTACCCTAACGATAGCCACTTGTGGTTTTCCAGCCAAATATAAAGAAATCACACTCTCTTGAATTCCACCAGAAATAACTTTTTTCTGCAGAATTCTTGTAAACAATATAGCGAGCTGTCACTGGAGTAATTTTAACAGCTGTCGGACGAGTGGCTTAGAAATGAGAGCAGTATGAAGTTGGTTGCAGTGTTTTCATCTCACCCTGTATTTAACACAATTACAGACATATTTATATGCAACCCCTTTATTAGAGGTTATAATACCACCGATGACATAATTCTCTCTGGAATATGAGGCAGGTTTTTTTTTCCAAGTTTTCATTTAAAGTCAATTTTGTCAATATCAAAGGTTATAAAACTTCAAACTCACTAACAGCCTTTTATTTATATGAACCAATCCCTACATTTTGATCTCTCATAAAGGGAGAAATTATTTACGATTTTTCCCTAAATATCGTATATAAATACCCCTTACAAAGAGTTACAACTTTAAACAATTCAAATACCAAATCCCCGTCTTGATCCAAAATATCATCTTACTTACTATCATATCATGGAAAACGTAGGCGCTTATCTTCATTTGCCACTCCCGCAAAGAGTAAATATTTGGATATCATGTTATGTGAATGTGGGATGTTAAAATATAAGAAAATAAAGAAGATTTCATATAAATTTCCTGGAAACCTTCCAAATTCTGGAAATGAATTAGTACTTTTAGAAATCATAACTTTAGATTTCATATGGTTCGAATAGGGAAATGGTTATTAGCTGAGGGTATACGTTTGAAAGATTTCCGACAGCTACTTTCTAAATAGTCTGTCAGAGTTTATAGCAAAATGCCAAAGGATAGGTTTCGTGACCTCGTAAAAGGGTTGCTTGAAAATAAAAACATATATTCCAAATTCCTATTCAACACTCCCCAGTATTTAAAAGTGTAAGAAGTAGCTGGGAAAATTTGTGCGAAACTAATGGTTTATATATGAAACGATTAAACAGTGAATATTGTTGAACATTTGCAAATTGATTATTTTCATAATTTTGTTGTATTCTGAAAAGTCCTGGACACTGCGATATGTCTAGTTCCCAGGAAGTAAAACAAAAAGCACTTAAAAGCAGGTTACAAAATTCACACGAGTAATAATTTATTAATTTGCAATTTGCCAAAGATGACTGCTGACGAGAACATTGTGGCGTATGATTGCTGCCACACAGACACAGTCAATATTCATTATACGCAGTGATCGACTATTTTATCTTTGAGTTAGAGAGATTGCTACATGGTTGTAATTTCCCAAAGTTGTAGTACAAAGTGTTTTGCCCCAAAAAATTATAATAATAATTCACAGTGTTGTAGTCTAAATGTTGTAAAATAAGTTAGATGTTATAGAACACATACATATGTAACAGACAAGATATTGTTATCACACATTTGGAATTATTGTAGGGTTACATATTTTTGATATCAAATAAACGTGCAAAATGTCACGTTTTGAGTCTTAAAGGTCTCTAGTGTCGTGTTGTTATTGCTTGTTTATAGAATTGAAAAAAAAAAAATCGAATAATAGAGAAATTAAAGCCTATTTGATTAGCAAAGGTAATGGTGTGCGATTTTTTATGACTGGCGCGTAAAGCAATAAAAAAGTAAAAAGAAAAAGATATAAAAACCAATAAAAAAAGTCAAATTAGAATTGAATTTATGGACAATATTCAATGGAAAAATATTATTATTTTTATAACAGATTAAAATGCTTGGTTTGATAGCAAATAATAGACTCAAAAAAGAGCCTGCAAAACAAATTTGAAATGACGTTTATGACAAAATCATAATTAAAAGTTTGACAAGATTTTAAGCTTATCTTTATTTAAGAAAAAATTACTGTGGAGAAAATAAGTTAGTTTGCGATTGATACTGCCATACCACAAGCTATTCATTTCAAAATTTTTTACAAAATCATATAATATTTGCATTGGTCCCACTCTCTTATTCCAAAACATAATTAGATTTTGTCGTTAGATTTGATAAATATTTAAAGTAGACGATCTTTAAGATGGAACCATAAGAAGTTTCGTGACAACAAATGTTTTCGGTTCACATATTATGTACACATACAAACCAATGTGGATTTTAAAGACAAAAATCGATTCAGTTCTATAATGACGATTTTTGTCATAGGATAAAAGTTGATGGTTTCGACCCATATTCTTTAACTTTTTATTTGATAAAAATGGACATTCATATGGACATTCCAGTAGCTCATATTTCGAAAAAATTGTTCCGAAAATTGAAAATATGCCAACGATGTGAATTTAAAGAGTGTAAACATTAAAAAGAGATAGTAGGCGGTGTGTCTGCTATATTCGACAGGACCCTATGTTTGAAAACAAACCTTGAATCAACTCAATGAGGGTGGATCATTCCCTATAAGAATCTTATAAATTTTTACTTGGTGTGAAATTGACATTTGATAAAGAGGTCCGATATTCCAAATCCCCCATTATCTAAAAATCTTAGCTTGATACAAATATTAGGAACTGCTTGTATCCCATTTTTACACATGGTATGACTTCGGCATCAACATTGGGATGAGCGAATTTTGACCTTATCAAAAATATATAGATATTGAAACAACATATATAAATTTTGTTCAACGTTATTCGCATTTTTATATACCGACTACACCAAAAAGTTACCTCCAGATTCGCATTGTTGAAATCTTCGCATATTGACATTCTTAAACAAAGCACCTTCGATCAATCAATTTTTCATAAATTTTCAAGGAAGAAGATATCCAGGAAGACTTACCATTTCCAAAATATTTTATGTTTTATTTTATAAACAACCCTCCTTTTCACATTTTGTTTTGTTCACTGATGGTATTGAACTTACAATCTTCCGATTTGTATAAAGATGAAGGTATGTTTTAAGTCGTACATATTTTTATACCCTCAGTCATATGGCTAGAGGGGGTATATATCATTTGATACGGCCAAAATGTGCCTCATCGAAATAACTGTTTTAGACCCTAGGTCTCTTTGGACCAAATCCGATTCAGGATATTTGGAGTCGATCTAGTGGTATCCGCCCGTCCGTCCGTCTGTCTGTCTGGCTGGTGCGTACGATAGCTCTCGAAAATCCACACTTGGTACTTCGTAATATTAATGTCAAACTTAGATCAAGTTCGGAGATGGACAATATCAGTCCACTCTATCTGGTACCTCCCACACAAAATGCCAACATTTTCAAAGAAAATGATTTACTGTATAGAAAGGATAATCCGATTTTG